AGTTATCAATATTAAGAATGCAAAATCACAATCATTCTTACATTTGACGCAGCAATTTGTAGAGAATATCCAATTTTACAGAAAAAGAACAACACCATTGAATTCGTCAGAAAAAGTTGAGCAGATAAACAATTTTTTGAGAAAAATTTCATCCATGAACGTTCAAACTGGAAAAAAGGTCGGTCGATGCCTTCGACCACTGTTAAAGTAATATACGATGTAATCAAACGCATCAGGTGTTACTGACACAGTCGCGACAAATGACTGTGCATCTCGGACCTTGTACATGGTGTACCATGGACTCATCTGTTGGGATTCAAAGAGTGCAACTGACTTGATGAAGTTTCGCTCTTTCAACCGTCTGCGGATTCGTAGAGCATACATGATTCGACGTAGGTGCTGCCGTCGCGAGACGACAAGCACCAAAGCGAGGTTCATGATATATGTTACATGAAGCTTTTTGGTACTCGATGCCATTCAATTTTATCGCATAAACTGTTGATTCAAATAAATTTCATCCAGTAGAATTAGGAAAAATTTGCTACTTGCGCGGGTTATGGTGGCCCTGGTATCGCATGACGTGACGAAACAAACTTGACCACAATAATAATTAGTACACATCATATCCGGACAAAAATAGTTTGTGTCGGCGATTTGTGCAGGTTGTGGAAGTCCTCCATTACTCGAGTATTGGAGGACTTCCAAAACCTACACAAATGAATTTGTGTGGACCTTGACATAAAAAAATCAAATAAAAATATGTGTATGACCTCTCGAAATTTGTTGAGGCTGTTTTTTGGTCTCAACAAATCGTGGTGTTTGTGTTGCTCATCGCACAAAATTACTTTGATTTTTATACAAATATTAGGAGGTAAGCCAACGATTGGACTTCACGTTCCCACCAATAAAATTCGTGGACATCGCGTTTCAACTTCCAACGATTCATGTCGAAAGCAAGCAAAGGGCGCGGTAAGAGTTGGTAAACGGCGTCGGTTGATCTCTTGCTCGACCACGTCCAAGAGATATTGCCTCTTGGCAAAAACGGCTGGGCTAAGGTTGAGTTCGAATACGGCAAGGTTGGTAGCGCATTCCGACAACGCGATATACCAGAAGCTTCGCAACAATCCTAAACGAGACCGCGAACCCCAAGTGTCCGTCTGATGTTCGACGGGCCAAACAAATTGCGCGTGATATTAATACCAAGACAGACGTCCTCCCACTTGGAGATGAGTGCGAGGAGGACGATGACGAAGCACCATGCACGCCGACACCATTTACCCCAACAAAGGGTATTTGTCATTTGAAACTGTGTATTCACGTATATTATGTAGATGATGAGACCTCTGACGAACTTGGGAAGCCGAACCGAACTGGACTTGCCAGAAGTGAATTGGTTGGTCGTGAAAGCACAGCATACTCATGCTTAAAGTAATATACGATGTAATCAAACGCATCAGGTATTACAGACACAGTCGCGACAAATGACTGTGCATCTCGGACCTTGTATTTGGTGTACCATGGACTCATCTGTTGGGATTCAAAGAGTGCAACTGACTTGATGAAGTTTCGCTCTTTCAACCGTCTGCGGATTCGTAGAGCATACATGATTCGACGTAGGGGCTGTCGTCGCGAGGCCACAAGCACCAAAGCGAGGTTTTTGATATATGTCACATGAAGCGTTTTGGTGCTCGTTGCCATTCAGTTTTGGTCTGGACTACTTCCTCTGCTCCATAATACTGCGGACATAAGCAAAGTCGACTTTTTCCAAATTACTGTACCCACTTCGCAATTATTGGCCAATCCAGAAATACTCGGTGCTTATTGGTTATAATTGCAAACCGCAACTACCATACACTACAAAAGCGACACCGGGCACGCAACATTGGCAACCAGAGTACCAGCACGTCTCATCGCTTCCTTGTGCAAATGGGGCAAACGGAAGTGATTGTCACCGTTGTGTTCCAGCACAATGCGCATGACAGCCTGCAAGGTAAGGAAGACATTGTCGAGCTTCTCCTCAGACAACTCATCGAAGGCAGCCAAAGTCGAACGAATCACATCATCCACAGTACGACTCACCGACTTGTACTGTAGAGCTTGAATCGAGGCAAAGAAGCCCAGATCAAGCACGTTCAGGTCTGGGCTGTTCGGCGGCTGGCGGCGCACACGGAACTCCCACCCATCGGCAAAATGGCCCTGGATCGCATCGAGCACACCGTCCGACACCGAGGCGTGCGGGGAAGCATTGTCGTGTTGGATGACAACGCGCTTGCTGACGCTCGGCATCTTGGCCTTGATGGCAGGTAACACGCGATTCAACACAAAGTTTTGGTACTCCTCGGCGTTCACGTTGACCAGAGTAGTGACCATGGTCCCGGCCGGGCGATTGCGAGACGTTCGGATGGCTGGCGTAGACGTCACGAAGGGCCACATCCCGATCTTGCCGTCAAAGATGAGGTTGCCGGCATCGTCGTACTGCGGCCGGGCAACGGCCGCAAGGAACATCACCTTGGGAATGAATTGGTTTGAGTTGTGACCACAGTATTATGGAGCAGAGGAA